ACAATTCCGGATGGCAAATTACCAGGCTCTAGATTTCGAAATGACTCATTATAATAAGGCATCTCCATTTGCTAGCAAGCTTCCTCAGGAGCTCAGGCTACAGTTTCAGACTATTCTGGATGATGGATAGCTTAATTGTCCCTCCAAACGTCTTTCAAAGCAACTGACCCCATTTCCTGCTCTATGGAAACTTCAGTAATTATAAGGTGGGATTCTTGGCTTCAGTCCGTGGGGTTTCCTACTGAAGTCCAAGCAATGGTAGAAAACCTCTTCAAGGGTAACCTTACGTTCAGCAAAAAAATAGACAAATCATTATACTCTCTCAAAGACTCTCAGGCTACCCTCTGCTTGCTGGGGATTTACTTGGAGGAAAGTAATCTAAGCCACTGTCATAGACAGTGACTCGCTCCCCAGCCCTTCTTCCATCAATGAGCTTATGAACCACCCAGGAAACCAGAAGTTACACCACTGCAGGCAGAATGCACCCCATACTATTGCTTCCCCCCTCACCAGCTATCCCATGCCAAGAAATCATTTTGATGGGACCTTCAAGAGCTACAAACCAGTCTTGGTGCAGCCATACAGTCCCACCCCCATCAGTGGCCACCTGTTCCATTTCTTTCCAATATGGCAACATGTTACTTCAGACAGATGGAAAGGAATTAATCTCCAAGACCCATTCCTACACTAAAACCCCACTCCCTGTCCCTCTTCAGGGATCCCTCTCATGACAGGTTCCTCAGACAGGAGATAAACCCCCATCTTCAGTTAGGAGCCATAGAACCCATGCCTCGTCAACACAGGGGGAAGGGTTTCTATTTGAGATACTTCCTCATTTCAAGAAGGAGACCCATTCTATATCTCAGACAGCTGAATGTCTTCATATGCTGTTTGAGATTCAGGATGACCACTCTGGATTCCATAATCTCTGTTGTATTAATTTAGGAGGAATATATGGGTTAAAGGTGTAAAAATAGTCCAGTAACTGTCCAACATTAAACAGTGTTAAGCAAGGTTTGGGTTTTGGTATTCAGAGACCTCAGCCTGATTAAAACCATGGCAAACGCATCATTAAAAATCCTTTAAAACTTTTATCAAACAAGACAAGAAGGGAAAACAGTCTTTGAAAATGTAAAGTATTACATAAGGCTTTCATATTAACAACATCCCTTTTTCCTTTTCCCCTTTAGCTGGAGAACACTTTTAGAAGTAAAACCTCCCTTATCTGACAGTCTCTTAGACAATATTAAAGATTGTAATAACTAGCCTTTTGGGGAAAAATAAGAAGTTAGTTGAGATGGGCTGGAGTTGTTGCTGCTGCTGTTGTTAAAGTCCAGTCCTGTTTCATCCCAGGTGGTGTTTTAGGATCCAGAAGTGGCAGTGGGTCCCTCTATCTGGCCTAGTCAGGACAGGACATCTCTCAAGATCAAGATGATGTAGGCCTGGGGTCCTAGGAGATGATGGGGGTGGCAGCCATAATGGTGAAGATCACTCCAGTAGTCCGTTTTTCTCCCTAAAATCTCTTTCTTTAAAGGACCCAAAAAGGGAGTGATGGGTGGAATAGCCCATCCCCTCATTATTTTGTCCATGAATTAGGCCTAGTTTCCAACACACTGATTTTCATCACTGACTTCTGGTTCCCACTTTTATTGTGTACCAAGCATGATCTTCACACAGTTTTAGAGTTATATCAGTAGGCATTTGTGTTTGGACTAATTCAGTCTGTCTCCCTTTCTTACCTTTTCCCATCAATGTCTGTTGGTTATTGTGACATGAACTTTCATTTACTTTTTACAGTTGCTCACAATTAGGGCAAATTTGTAGGCCCAATTATCGCAACATCCCTTTCCTCAACAAAGGCGACTGGTTTGCAGTTCTCAATTTGAAGGATGTCTGTTTTCATATAGACATTCACCCATCTCACTGGAATTTTCTGTGCTTTTTGGTGGGACTAGAACATTACCAGTACAGGGTTCTTTTTGGCCTCTCGACAGCCCCAAGAGTTTTCACAAAGGAATTCTCGATGGTAGCAACACACTTTGTCGCCAGGGCAGTCCAGTTTTTTCCTAACCTCGATGACTAGCTGCTCACAGGACGGTCATCTGGGGAAGTTCAATTTACAATATACTCAGTTTCCTGCAATTTGTAGGACTTCAAATGAACTTAGAAATGTCCAGTTTAATCGCCATGCACATTATAGAATTGATTGGAGCAACTCTGGACTTGACTTCACCCAAAGCTTACTTAGCTAAAGACAGGGTCTTGCAATCAGGGATCTCAAAAATCACCTAACTCTGACTGAGTCCATAGATGACAGCTCTTTTCTGAGCTCATACACATGGCTGCCTGCAGATACAAAACAGTCTTCACCAGGCTCCATCTTCATTGCCTTCAGGCATGGCTCTGCATGTCTGCATGCTGAACAGAGATACCTTAGACAAGTTAGGATCCCTCAGTGTTCTGTCTTCTCATCTGGTGGGGAAAAAAAGAAATCTGTGTTTGTAGGGGTTCCCTTTGTTTCCCCTCCACCTACATAGAATCTAATCACAGACCACCCCCTTCCCTCCAGATTGGGGAGCACATCTGGGCATCCAAGGAGTGCAAGGTTCTTGGACTCAACAGGAGTCCCAGTTACACATCAGTCTACTCAATCTTCGGGCAGTGCACGAGGCTTGCAAAAGGTTTCTGCCTTTCATATGTTCACATCATGTCAGACAACGTAACAGCAGTACTCTACATAAACAAGAGACAAGCTCTGGAACTGGTGCATCTGACACCAGTTCACCCTATCAGCAGTGCACCTTCCCAGAGTAATGAACACTGTAGCAGACAGCCTCAGCAGAGACCACTTCCACAGAGACTGCGAGTGGGTACTTCACAACTTGGTGGTGCAGAACGTCTTCTGTCAGTGGGGCCCCCGTCATGGGACCTCTTTGCATCCCAGTTAAGAAGAAATGTCTAGCCTATTGCTCCTGTGTTGCTCAAGGGCACAATTCTAGAGGGGATTCATTCATGGTTCAGTGGTCAGAGCCACCAGTGTATGCATTCACACTCATTCCGCTCCTACATCATGTCCTGAACAAGATCATCCAAGACAAATTGACAGTGATCCTAGTGGTTTCGTGATGGCTGAGACAGTTTTGGTTCACCAGTATCTACCAGATGTCTATGTGTTGCTGAACCTTCTGACTCAGAACAAAGGCAAAACCGTCCATCCCAACCTGATCTCCCTCCACCTCACAGCTTGGTATTTGGATGGGTGACAAGCATAGAAAAGTCTTGCTGCAAGGAAGTCCAATCCATCCTCAGCCACAGCAGAAAAGCTTCCATGAGAAAATACTATGCTGCCAAGTGGAAGAGATTTTTCATCTGGTGGCAGCATCACCACGTACATCCATTGGATTTTGGCATGCCTACCAATTGGAATAGCTCCTTTCCCTGAAGTCTTTGGGTTTATCCATTAGCTCATTGTGTGCGCACTGGGAGCAATCAACACTTTCCATTCTCCAGTAGATAATTGTGTGGTGTATACCCACCCTATGACCATGACATTTCTGAGGGGTCTTGTCAGAGCCTCCAGTATCGGTGCCAATTCCTAACTGGGACCTTAATCTCCTACTGTCGGCACTTATGAATCCACCATTCGAGCCTTTGGCCTCCTGTTCCCTTCTCTATCTATTTATGAAAGTAGTCTTCCTAACAGCAATCACTTCAGCTAGGAGAGTTGGGGAGCTTGTGGCTTTTATGGCAGACCCTCCCTACATAGTGTTCCATAACAAAGTGTCCCTAAGGTTACATCCCAAATTCATTGCAAAGGTTTCCTCCAGATTCCATGTGAATTGGACTATCCATCTAGCAGTATTCTACCTGAATCTCATGACACTAGAGAGGCTGGGAGACAATTCCCTGGATATTTCTAGAGCTTTGGCTTTTTTACCATCAAAGGATGAAGCCCTTTTGAAAATCCCTGAGATTATTCTTCTCCTTTGCGAAGTGGATCAAAGGGGAGGCAATTTCATTTCAAAGGTTCTCAAAATAGATTGCAGGCTGTATTCTACTGTGTTATGATATGTTAATTCCTCTTCCTCAAGGTATGAGGGCCACTCAACTACTTCTCTGCAAGGCATACTTTTTGTAGAAATCTGTAGAGCAGTGACACGGAGCTCATTGCACACCTTTACCAAACACTACATATTGGTCCAAGCTTCTTCAGCATCCTTTGGTACAGCAGTCCTGCAATCTGTGGTGTACCCTGGGTCTTCACACCCTCCTCCTCAATGAGTACTGCTTGTGAGTCACCCACCTGTGAACATCTACAGGTACCAGCATTTGCAGAAGAAAGGGAGGTTACTTACCTTTATAGTAACTGAAGTTCTTCAAGATGCATGATCCCTGTTGGTATTCCACGACCTGTCCTCCTTCTCCTCTGCTCAGTTATTTACTTGATTTGCAGCAGAGTAGGAACTGCAGAGACAGTTTGTCTTTGCCATCACTTGTGCCCTTGGTTCGGAGCACAAGGAGGCACAGGGCACAGGTGAACCAACAGATGCTGCTAGTGAAGAATCTTCCAGGCTCAGGTGCATGGAGCACATGAGAACCAACAATGAATATCCGTAGGGACCACACATCTTGAAGAATTCCAGTTATTGTAAGGTACGTTACCTTCCTTTTCTTAGAAAAAAATTGCACAAGAATAAATATTTTTATCATTGTTTAGTTTAATTACAAAAATAATCTCCAGAAGCTAGGAAATAAATCAGTCTTCCAAGTTTGCCAATCTTGGCCACTAAATCATACATATCCTGTGGTCCACAATTCAGTGAATCAGATATTGTGATCAGACATTTAATTAGGAGATAAAATTATATTCTGTGAAGTGGTTTAATTTCTTGCAGGTTAAAGTTTGACCATAATATGAGCAAGATGTTATCAAGCAGCATGTTTTTGAACATTTCTGTTTGCTGAAGAATGAACTACTATAATCTCTCTTGTTTCCACAGGTTGGAGCCCAACCAGATGGTTATTCTATAGTTCATAGAAAATGTCACTCTCAGTTTACTGACACAGCAGATTACAGAAGACATGGTATCAACACATGGCAAGATGAGAGTGGGATATATGCTAATATGGATATAAAGCAACAGGTCTTCCCAGTAACTAATCCTATATCGTCAAACGTGCATGAAGATCATTTCTAAGCACTTATAATAGAATCTGAAATAGACACATTGTATGTCATGTATTAACTATTTTCCAAATATTCCAATAAATATTTTTGAAATGCTTGCTACAGTAGATGCATTGTTCTGCAAGTGATCTCTTTATATTGGGTTGCACTATACCAACCTTGTATGAAGGTTTCCTATATATTGAGTATTTTTATGATTAAGCATTTTATGGATCTTTTACAGATTGTATATACACTGATCTTAGCTGAACACTGTTGCTGTGATGGGAGAGTTTATCATGGGAAGCAATGACTCTGAAAAAGCTTTGGGGTTGTGGATATGAGCTCCTGTCACAGGGCACATCACTCACTGGGATGGTGCCTCCGCCTGGTCACTCTGGGGATTAGCTCAAGGCAGACACCCTCCCAGACCGCAGTTTTCATACTATCACTCTGTCTCTGCATCTGCCTGCAACCCCTTTTGCTGCCTCAGGAACCGCAGTGTCCTCTTCATGGCTCTGCCCTCTGGCCATCCATGTTTTCCCCCTTCTGGGGGTTAATATTGCAGTCCAATAATGATGCCACTTCCCCAGTGTTGAGGGCGGGACCCAGGCCCGCCCACTACTCCGGGTCCCGATCCAAGGACCCTGTTGATAGCAGCGTCAAGCTGCTCTCCTTGGAACTGCTCACCACTTTTTCCAGGGCCTCGTCCCCATGCCCCTGCACCTACTCCACCCTTACCTCAGGGCCTTCAAGCACTGCCCTGTCCATGGTGCTAGTACTCCTTCCACCTGCTGGGAGCCCAGCCTTCACTCCATGAGCTCCAAACAGCTACTGCCTGCTCTGCCCTGCAGCTCCTCTTATCTGCGCCTGCCGGGCCCAGATTGGTTTGCTCCCTGCAACTCCTCCCTGATTTGGCTGTGCCTCACACAATCTCTCAGGGCTCCTTGGAGGATTCACTTTCACTGCTCCCTGCTGAGATTAACCCTTTCTGCACCTCTGTGGGGCAGACACCTCATCACAACTCCCAGTACAATGCTCTGGCCTAATGGGCTAATGCACTTCTTGATGTATAAATGGGAATCTTGAGTAGGAACAGAGAGGCTGTTTTCCTCTGTATTTGGCACTGGTGCAACTGCTGCTGGAATTCTGGTGTCACAATTCAAGAAAGATGTTGATAAATTGGAGAAGGTTCAGCGAAGAGCCACAAGAATGATTAAAGGGTTAGAAAACAAGGTGTGTGCACTCAAATGCACTGACCTTTATATATATAATAACTGTGACTGTGTGTGCAGCTGGTTATTTATGCACTAACGAGTTACCTGTATGCACAGTGACAAATATGAAGGTGGCTGTGCAAGTATGAGAATTTTTTGCGTGTGGCCCTCAGTCCTCTTTTCAGAATTGGTCCCCTAATCTAGAAACAAAGTGGATAGTTATACAAAATGCATGCAATGAAAACTGCTGAGGCCAGGCATCTGCCGTTGATGATGTAGTAGTAGGATTTTATGTTGGTATTTTGTATAATTTAGAATGAAGGATAAAAAAAAAAAAAGAGTTATAATGTAGCATGTATTAAATGTATTGATGTATGATTTGATCATGTCCTGCCAGCCACCCTTTTTGAATAGGAGAAAGGAATGGCCTAAATGGGCCATTGGTACAGATACATCAGCCAGAATCTGTGTCTGTGCTGATTTTGAGGATCACCAATTTGAGGGTCACCAATTTGTTGTAGGTTTAGCATTTTAAAATAAGTAAAAGAATGTCATGATTGTTTTCTTTTGCATTGCAACTTGATGTTCCTGTTCAAAATGTTCTGTGTAAATTAATTCTGTTTTGTGTGTGAATGAGGAATGTGTGTGTTAAGAGATAAGTGTGAAGGCCATCGCTGAACCAGATGGTCTAGGGAGGAACCGGAGACAGTGAGGAGGCTGCAACACGCCCGTATTGAAATGTCAGAGGAGGACAGATTGATGACTCTAAAGATGAGACAGGCACCTATCAATGGGGACAAGATAGCTGTGATCAAAACCAGCATGGGATAACTCCCTGAGGAAGTTGATGAAAAAACAAGATAAAGGATGAGAAGGACAATTTAAGAAAACAAGCACTCGTCAAACAACAATTGATTACAGCATGATGGTGCAGAACTCATAGGTTCCAATAAAGGAAAATCACTATATAAACAGGGTGCCTTGCCATGAAACTTTGGGTTCATCTTGCCAAGACTTCCCCAGAGCATCGTGTCGCGACCGACAGAACCCGGCTCCTCCCTACCTGTGATCAACCTAGCTGGCCACTAGATTGATCCAGACTTTGGACTGGTAACTATAACATTGACTGGCGGGACTCTGTGTGTGTGTGTGTGTGTGTGTGTGTGTGTGTGTGTGTGGTGTGTGTGATTGAATGCATATGCTAATTGTTGTATCGTCAATAAATGCGGCGTATTGCCTTTTCCCCTGAAAAAGATCCTGTGTGCTTCTTATAAGCATAACAATGAGGTGATGTAAGCTCTCTCTTCTGAGGTGGAAGCAAGGGAGGCCAGGAGTAACGCTGCAATACAATATCATAAAAAAGAGATGTCAGTGTAATGTTGCAAAGATGTCTGACCTGATTGTATAGCCTGATTACTGCCTACTGTGCCACTGATATGGAAAGTCTAAGGCAACTTTAATCAAGGCATCAACTAGCCACTATATTTGTCCTTAGATTGAGATTGGACATTAATTCTAATACTAAGACAGTTCAGTAGAATAATTTTCAGATTCAGTAGTAGTAGGTAATGAATAAAATATTCAGCTGTGGAAGTGGAGAGAGAGTTAAGGCCTTCAGTCCCATAGGACTTTAACTGGATTTTCCTTCTGTGTGGTAAATCTTGCACAGCCAATCTATTTCCACACAGTTCATTAACTCTGACTCTGAGGTAGAAATTAAAATCAGCCTTGGTAAATACAAAGGCTTTTGTTGATTTTAATGAAACAAACAGATGAATGTAATTCTATTGTTTTCCTATTTGCGGGTGTAGATGAGTGACCAATGATTCTATAGGCACCTGAAACCATAGGCAAAATGTGGACATAGAGATATGATTGCTCTCTTTAAATATATCAAAGGGATAAATACCAGGGAGGGAGAGGAATTATTTCAGCTCAGTACTAATGTGGACACGAGAACGAATGGATATAAACTGGCCGTGGGGAAGTTTAGGCTTGAAATTAGACGAAGGTTTCTAACCGTCAGAGGGGTGAAATTCTGGAACAGCCTTCCGAGGGAAACGGTGGGGGCGAAAGACCTCTCTGGCTTCAAGATTAGGCTAGATAAGTTTATGGAGGGAATGGTTTGATGGGATAACGTGATCTTAGTCAATTAGGCAATAACGTGCCATCGCTGGTAAAATGTGGGTCCGGCTGGGAATCTTGCCTGTATGCTCGGGGTTCTACTGATCACCATATTTGGGGTCGGGAAGGAATTTTCCTCCAGGGTAGATTGGCAGAGGCCCTGGAGGTTTTTTGCCTTCCTCCGCAGCATAGGGCAGGGGTCGCAAGCTGGAGGATTCTCTGCGACTTGAAGTCTTTAAATCACGATCTGGAGACTTCAACAGCTGAGATAAGGGAAATTGGGTGGGTCAGCTTTTGTGGCCTGCATCATGCGGGAGGTCAGACTAGATGACCATAATGGTCCCTTCTGACCTTAAAGTCTATGAGTCTATGACTCTTTCTCTCCCCCTTTTGTATGGCTTTTTCATTAGACAGACAGGGAGGTGTTAGAGGATGCCTTTAGGACATCTCAGAATTCATGAGATAAAGAACACAAGTTTCTAATAGAATATGATACTCAGTTAACAATACTGTGTATTTCAAGTTTGTTCAAATTAGTCATGAATATCAGCCTACATTCTACTAAATAAACTAATTCCTCTAGTGCAATGGATCCAAACACCAGTAAGCATGGGTTACTGACCTAGTACCACAAGTCTCCAAGGAGTACATTTGACATGGATTAAAAGGATCACACCTACAAACAGCCTTGAATAGATGCAAATAGATAGATGCAAAAGAAACTGCATCCCAGCAGACTTTGTCCTGGTGCCATTCATGCACTGCAGATGTTCAAACTGGCAGAAGGCAGAGGAAAGCTGCCTGTCAGAGAAACAAACTGAACAGGAAAAAACAAAAGCAAATGTAGGTAAAATGAGGCTAAGAACAGTTCAGAAAGTCCACACAGTTCAAAAGGAACTACTTATAGAGAGCATTGTAGAGTTCAGAGTTGTCCTTTTGTTGCAATACAGTGATTTAATACAAGCATTTTCTGCCCATAAAATATATATTGTATCCAAATGACTGTGCTTCGGATAAAGTACCCACATATAGACTAGAAATTACTTTGTAGATATCAGGTTGAAACTAAAGGCAACACAGCCAAATATTAATCACGGCTCTGGATATCTAAACCACATGCAATAGCTATATGCTGTATTTCTATGCACTCTTAACACACCACCAATCAAGGAGATAAGAAATTTGAAAATGCTTTTGAAAGATTTTTTCATTAAGATCAGCGGAGGTCTTAGAAGTAAAAGGGGGCCTCCCTCAGATAAATTGCTCGAAGCCCATT